TGTGTGAAGCCCCGAGTGAAGGGAGCTGGTTGTGCGCATGAGCGATGTCGAAGGTTTATGGATGATTAAATGTCCTGTCAAGGGTTGTTGATTGCATGCATGTATGTGTGTATGTACTTGTCCGGGCGGGGACGGAGAAACTGAATTGGGGGACCGTCTGCTTAGGAGTACGAGTGTGTTGATCCTATTGTTCCCCTCCCCTCCACGGCCTTTCCTGCGCGCACGCGCAGTCTCGGTGTAACTCACTCTCTCTCTCGATCTCCTTCCTTTTTGAACTGATAGTCATCACTTTTGAACTTCTCGTCCCTGTCCCGGTGACCTCCACCACCTGCGTCCGCGCGGACGGTCGACGCCCCCGCATAGGGGAGAGAGCTTAGATTTCGTCATCTTCCCCCGATGCACCCACTTTTGAGAGAGAAGAGTTGCGTCGAGTGTTGTATGGAGTCAGTGTTGGTTCGGATGACCGGGAGCACGGGATCTTGCCCGTGTTCATCGCGTACCTCCGATCGTCTCATCTCGCTACCGACCTTCCCCATCACAGATGACGACAACGTCTACTGCGATGCGGACGTACGTCGCGCGCTGAGGCGGACGGAGCAAGTGTGTTGGCAAGACCCGCCTCGGGCTTGTGATATAAGGGGGAACGGGTTTGTCTTGATTGATCATTTTGATTCCCTGACTCTAATATTGCCCTATACGAGATTAACTGTGTTACCCTGGTCGGCTGCTCACGCCGCGTGGCGGCCGCGGTTTGATTGTCACTGGTGTCGCCAGAAGGACTCGTGTTCTTGGCGACGCTTGGTCCTGGGTTACGAGGGAGCGACACGTTTCCCCGAGCTCTCCCGTAATGCGGGGGCGCTGCCCGCGCAKTTTCGAATTCGGATGCCGGCGAGTCCTCCCGCCGTTTCACCCTCTCGGAAACTTCCGCGCGGACTTTGCGAGTCCAACGCCGAGGCTTGAAGACCTCGAACCCACCCCCTCTACAGCAAAAACCCGATGGTCCGGTCACTTCGTGAGGCCGATGACGAGGCCTCAAGGATTCGAACCCACCACCTATCACCCAAACCCATGACGGTCGTAGTTTTTATCTTCCGCCGCCATGACCCTCTCCCCTTGATGCCTTTTCCCGTCCTGATGCACGATGACAATTCGTTTTTGCGGAAACCCTTCTGATTTGATCGTTTCGAAGTGATCCGACCCCCACGGGACTTCGCGAGGACAGTTCGACTCCGGGGAAAACCTCTGGCACGAAACGAGAGCCTCCCGTTCTGTCCGGGAGACTCAACCCTTATGGCCAAAAATCCTTGGCCACGCCCCTCCTAGAACTCTGATCGGCGACCCTGTACGGGAAGCTGTGAGGGGGCGTGAGGTTGGTCTCAGAGCTGATTCGTTTCGGCTCCGAGGTTTCCTAGGACAATTACCCTATTTAAGAGTTTTTCCTTTTTGATCTTTTTAGTAGATTTTTCGCATTTTTGAGTAGGCTGGTTCCCCGCCGACGGCGGCCCGCGAATAGCAATCAGAACCGAGCGAAAGGCCGGTCTCGAGGTCCGCCTCCCCCGATGGTTGAACCCGGAATTGGGGGTGGAAACGACGACGATAACCACGCGGGGATGACCAATCATCCCCTCTATTTTGTACCTCCTCTCTCCGAGGTTTTCATTTTTTCCGAAGATGATACCAACCCTCGCACCTGGCTAGCTGCCTTGAAAACCCAGGGCTGGTCGGACCAGTTGCTCCGAGAACGAATTCCCGAAAGGTTAGCCGGAACCGCTTTTGAGTGGTATGGACAGAACCCTTTCACTAATTGGTTAGCCTTCTAGAGGAAATTTCTCGACAGATTTGATCACATCGCACCAGGTCAGTGCCTCCGTCTAATAAAGGAATATACGCAGCAGCCTCGTGAGACCTTGGCTAGATATGCTGAACGCTTTACGTACCTAGCCGAACGCTCCGGGGTAGACGAGAAAATGGTACAGACTGATTTCGTCAGAGGATTGTCAGATTCTCGCCTGCGGAAAAAGATCCGCAAGAAATGCAACCCTATAGAACATACCCTGACGGAGCTAATTAAGTACGCAATTAAGTACGGGAAAGAAAATTACGATGTGGGTCTGGACTCAGAATCCGACGAAGACGACCCTTCGGGTGTTCGACACAATGGCTACTCCGCTACGACACGAATGTTCGAAGATCGCTTCGGGTTGGGTCCGGCAAAAAAAGTCTCGGATCGGAAAGCTTCTTCCTCTGCTTCGGCCTCCCGTCGCTCTAGTCAAGCACAAGGAGGCCGGGGCGAGGAAGAAGTGTCCATGAAAGAGGTCGCGGCCCAATTAGTTACGGTAGTGGCCCCGTTGACGGAGTTTGTTCAGGGCCTGCAGCGACAACGCATAGCCGCCGCACAACGGCAACAAGCGGCTATGGCCGTCGGGGCCCCTATGATAAGATCGGTCGTGGCCGAGGCCGTCCCGCCCCTAGGCTGTTATAACTGTAATCAGCCAGGCCACCTTGCGAAAGATTGTCCGAAACCTCAAACTCAGGGTGGGCCCGCTGGGCCCACCGGACCTTCCCAAATCCCGGTGGCTGCTCCAACCGCTGCAGGACAGGGGAGGGTAGCCACAGTAATGGACATAGGAACGACGGAGATGGTGACCCCTGCGGCCACTGAGATAGGACCCGATGAGTATATGGCGGTAGCGATGTTCGAACCCAGGACCATCGGAGTGATACGTCACGTCCAACGGATTACCGAGGAAAGCGACCTCGGGCCATGGCGACCAGGGTTCGAAGATCTTGCGGCACCTGGTCCTGAATACAAGGATGACCATATCGACGTATTGGATGCCTTGAAGGCTCAAGATCTACGGATCCCTGTCCCTATTCCCTATCTGCTAACCATTTCCGAAGCGGCTAACGAAAAATTGATCGAACGATGCCTCAAAAACAGGTGCCGATTCGAGGAAAGTCGAAAGGGCAAAAAGCCGGTCCTACGAGACCCACCCACAAACGAGGAGTTACAGCCCTCGACCTCAAAGGTGCACGAAGCCAACCGGATAGGAATGATCCAGACCGTAGATTCCGCCTCGGAAAAACCCGAGGTATTCCTCCGGGCCTATCCTATAACCTAGAAAAGCGTTGAGTGTGTTAGCGAGGTCTGGGGAAACCCCTCGGCCTCCATCTTAGACTCGGGATCGTCAGCAGTCGCCATTTCTTGGAGATTGACAAAACAATTGGGAAGGGAAGAACAGGTTCAGCCCCTCCGACCGGATGAACTGTATATATCCGCTACGGAAGACAACATTGATTGTAAAGGGCGGATAACGAACGTGCCTATACGGGTGGGGCGGGTGCATTGTTTATGCGACGCAATCGTGCTGGATGTATAGGTGTATGATGTTCTGATAGGCATTCCATGACAGACGGCGGTCGGAGCGCGAATGCACTTTGACAACTGTAAGGTGGTGCTCACATCGGCCCACCCCAAAGCACAAAGGATACCAATGAGATTGGCGGTGCGTATGCGTACCCAGTCGGCGCCTCGAATCACCACGAAAGCCCACCAAATCAACATGACCCGACGCCTGTCGCCAGGCGAAAATGAAACCTCGTCGGGAACTGACGAGACTAACGTTCCCGACCGATATCTGATCCGGGTTCAGGATCGGTGGCGCCATTCCTGGCGACGAGAACCCCTGGAAATAGTTCGGAGCGAGTCCAATTGCTCGCACGCGTTCTCCTCCGTAGTGCAGGGGGAACCCCTGCTGAGGGTGTCCCGAATAGTTGACGTTTCGGAACCCCCTGCGTCCTTATATCTCAGAACGGACCCCCTACCTGAAAGATTTACCGAGCTTAGGAGGCTGTGCGATTTATCTTTTCAACCTCCACGACCCCTACTTACGAATGAAAAAGCCGCGATACTCTTGAAAGAGGGGGTGTCGTTTCGACCCCGAACCAGGGAATATCGGTGGGGACCGGGGGAACTGACGCAGGCCTTTTCGGTAGAACCCTCGACCGAACCCGAACTGGACAGTGACAGTGACATGGAAAGCGAGCCGATAAGTCCGGCGGACACTCAACTTATTGCGACTGTCCTTTCGGCGAAAACCGACAACTCTTTGTTTGGGGCCTTGCCCGATGCCAGCGCGGCGGTCCCCACGGTTACAACGACGGTCTCCCTTCCTGGGGGAACCGTAGAAGTTCAGTTACCAGCCCGTGTTCCGGATGAATACAGACGCCTCCTCCGGGCGGTTATACGGGCCTATCCTGAGGCCGTCAGTATTTAGGACCACGACATAGGGCTAACCCCTTTGATACAACACGCGATTGATACCGGGGATCACGCCCCGATACATTGCCGACCGTACCGATATTCCCTTAAAGAAAGACAACTGGCTTTGGAAAGGGTACGGAAATTCGAGCGGTTGGGGTGGGTCGAACCATCGCTGGGACCGTGGTCTTTTCCCGTGGTCCTCGTGCGAAAACGAAATGGTTCGGTCCGGGTATGTATCGACTACCGAAAATTGAACGCTATCACTACCAAAGATGCCGCGAATCGACGATTTATTAGATGCTATCGGGTCCGCTCGAGTCTTTTCCAAGTTCGATATCCGACACGGTTTTCACCATGTCGTAGTCCGACCGGAAGACCGACCCAAAACCGCTTTTGTCCTATTTGAGGGCACGTGGCAATGGGTCCGGTGTCCCATGGGAATTTGTAACGCCCCTGCAACGTTTCAGCAGGCCATGAATATGGCCTTCGCTGAGTTCGTTAACAAAACCCGACTAACCCAGCCCCTGATCAATTTCTGTGTGATTGTGTACATGGATGTTATTTTGGTCTTTTCAAAAACACACGAGTACCATGTGGAACACATTGAGTGGGTTTTGCATGCACTAAAAGATGCTGGGTTCAAAGTGACCTTGGAGAAAAGCGAGTTCTTCTTGTCGGAGATCTCATTCTTGGGGTACATCGTCACTGTCAATGGACTAAAACCGGATCCGAGGAAGGTGGCAACAGTTCAAGAAGCCCCGGCGCCGGTCACACTCACCCAGGTTCGGGTTTTTCTAGGGATGGCATCCTATTACCGACGCTTCATCAAGGGGTTCGCCGGTGTAGCGAAGCCCCTAACGAACTTGCTGAAGAAAGAGGAGCAGCTGATCTGGACGCCGAAATGCGAAGCGGCGTTTCAAACGTTGAAGAAGGCTCTGACATCTGCTCCTGTGTTGGCGCGTTCCGACCCGACAAGACCGTTCGCACTGTACACCGACTGGCAGCCGYAGGTGATATCGGCGGTGCTGACTCAGCACGGGGCGGACGGAAGGGAACACGTCATTGAGTATGCGTCCAAGACGCTGAGCTAGGCGCAGACTAATTACGAAGCGTGCAAAGGTGAATGCCTGGCGGTGGTGTGGGGGATTCAGCATTTCCGACCATATCTTTACGGCCAGAAATTCGTGTTGGTAACGGATCATCAACCGCTGCTGTCCCTACTCAACAACACGGACTACACGGGGACGCTGGGAAGGTGGGCGGTGCGTCTGCAGGACTATGACTTCGACATCCGCCACCGTGCCACGCGGCAGCATGGCAATGCCAATGGATTGATGCGCCTCCTGCCGCCCAACAAGTGTCCCACCAACGAGCGACTCATTCCGTAGAGGCCAGAAGCCGCGACGACGAAACCGCGCTACGGGGAGCTACACGTGTTGCGCAAGGACGACGCCTGAGTTCGGAATGGAGGTTTCGCTGGAGATGGCAGACGCTATCTCTTTGCCCTCATCCAACTCCCTCGCTCTCTCGTCTAGTCCCGACTCGTCCCCTGAAACACATCTAAGTCCCTGTTTCTTTTGTACCTTGCCTATGGTCCCGGACCAAGAAGGGTCACATCCGGGAGGGCCAGGTTTTCTTTTGTGGGTGCAGTGTAGTCAGTGTCAAGCGGTCAAATCCCACGGACAACGCATTAGGTACCGAAGTGAAAACATGTGGGTCTATCCCAACTGCAGAATGGACCAAGTCCCTACCGAGAAACGGTATCTGGACGCACAGACCGCCAACGGATTCGCGCCAAGGGCCCGCCAGGCAGAGGTGTGGACGGACCTTCTGTTGCTACGGAGGCTGTCAGGTGACTCGCTGTCAGAACTTACCAAAGCCGAGCGGCGGAGAGTCACGGAGCGGGCGCAGGACTATTGCTGGCAGGGACTGACGTTACAAAAACGAAAAGTCGATGATGGCGGAGGGACTAGCTGGTTGACGGTTCCGCACCCTTTCGCTAGGTTCGATTGGACACGAGCCGCTCATGAAGAGGATGCGGTCCATTTCGCGGTCAAGTACACGGAAAAAGCCATCGAAAAGAGTGGATGGTACAGGTCGGGAATTCGGGAAGATGTGAAATACATCGTCCAGAATTGCCCGGCCTGCGTGGCGGACAAGGCGCCGGTACAGATGCCTCGAACGATGATGCCTACTCGCGTAGAGCGCCCCCTTCAGAGGGTTAGCATCGACATGACGGATATCAACGTTCCGAGAGGTCCCGTCGATCAGGGAGAGCTCAATGTTCTTTTAGTGGTCGTCAATCATTTTTCGAAACGGATCGAGGCGTACCCTATGACCAGCCGGAATTCGCAGGAGGTAGCCTGGTACGTAAACCAGTTTTTGTGCATGCATCTAGACGTAGAAGAGGTACACATGGACAATGGGTCAGAATTTCAAGGCGAAGTAGAACGTCACCTAGTCAGGGCGGACTATCTACTCGCCGGGGCATTGGCCTCAAGCCAATGGCCTGGTAGAGAATGCCAACCGACTGATTAAGACCGCTCTTAGACGGAATATCACTGCGGGAGATACCCGGCCCTGGCCTGTCATTGTCGACCACATTTTGGCCGTCTATCGGGCTACCCCACACGGTAGTACTGGGGTGTCCCCCTTCCAACTGAGAACCAACAGTGTCCCTCGGGTGTAGTTGTCCCCCTTGGTAGGTACGGAAGTTAGAGCAACACGGGCCCAGCATTGAGATAAGGCCCGCCACTACATGGACTTAATGGTTAGGGCCTATCCCCCGTTAGCTCGCCGGCGACAGCGGGCCATAGATCGGACGCATCAACGGCAGATCTGCGATTATGAGAACCAACATGCGTCCGCGGGACCACTTCCTCATTATAAAATTGGGGACTTGGTGCAGGTATGGAAATTTGTGCGCTCCTCCAAGATCCACCCATGCTACACAGGCATTTACGAGGTAACGGAAGTTGGCGCACAGGGACAGCACTCCGTGAAGCTGATTCCCCGTCACAACTCCCAGGCCCGACCGCTAACACGGCACGCTGCCACGCTCCGACCCTTCCAACCATCGCTAGGCCCCATACGGACCCCCGCTTCTGCGAGATCATCCTCTCCTTCTTCGTCTTCCTCCTCTTCCCGATCTGCCTCGTCCATTGGTGCTGAGAGTTTTAGGGAGCAGGATGAACCATCGCCAGCCGGAGCATGAGCCCCTCGAGCATTTCCAGACGCCGCTTGCAGATCGCTTGTTGCGGCATCAGTTCAATGAGGAAAGGCAGTTGCGGTATGACATTCAGCAGGTGAACGTGCCAGCGCCCGGGATTGCTGATCTGGCGGCGTACTCGTTACTTTGCGATCGGCTGATGTATGCGGGGGTGTACGTGGACGTGACGCAGTTGCCTGGGTGGGAGACGACTCGAGTGTTCATCGAGTTCCGCGCGCTCCAGGTGGCACCCAACTTCGTGCATAGCGTCGCCACCTTTATCGGCGACTTGACGATCCTGCCATCGCCGAGTCGGGAGCTGACGCAAAGTTTTGTGCGCGAGTACGCGATGCAGGCGGCCAGATCGGTGGCCAGAGTGCACGGACGGGGGGGACACCGATTCACAACCCACGAAACGCTGCTGCGCAGGGCACAGGACGGACCGATCGCGTTGGTGCCACAGCTCCCCGCGCTTCTTTCTCCCGCTGCCCCTCTCAACTTCCAAGCTCTTCCCCCTGCCCCGTACTAAATGCCTCCCTTCTTCTCTTACACCACTCTCCCCTATCAACTCACGGAGGGCCCTTATCCTATGCGCGAGTTCTCGGAGTATCTGGTGGAGCTAACTGACGTGGAACCGCTGCCCTTCGCAGACGAAGACGAGTGGGAGTTGCACCGTGCGCTGTACAAATTGGTGGCGTTGGGGATGTTCTGATTCTTCGTGGATCACGAAGACCACTGCATCGGGGAGCACTTCGTCGTCTACTACGTCATCACACGGCCCAAGATGGCGCAGAAGGAGGGGATGGTGGCGCTGTACCCATTCGCCCAGCTCCAGACGATCGATCCGGGATTGTTGGAGCTCATACATCTTGAGTTCCTCTCCATTGCGCAAGATATCGCGAGCGAGGAAGAGAAGATCCAGCCACGATTGCGGACGGCGACGGCCCCGTGGAGAACGAACAACGCGGTCGTCATCCCGGATTACATTGCGCAGCACGCAGAGAGGTTGGAGGACTTCCCAGAGGAAAAGCCGTTGCAGCCTCCCTCGTCGTATCCTCGACCGGCGCCACCCAAGGCCCCCAAAAAGATGCCGAAGAGGAAGAGACGCCACCCGTCGCCAGGAGCACAAGGCAGCAGAATCGGTGGCGACGAGGAGGTGATTCAGCCCGCGCGTACGCGGAATCTTGACCCCGCGCTTGGGAGTGCGGCGACGCTCGTTAAGGCGACTGTCGTGCCATCGCCGCCCTTCCCGCGAGTGCCCGATCTCAATCTTGATGGAGCCGGGCCATCATCAGCGGCAGCAGCCGGGGGAGGAAGCCGAATGGGAATACAGGATCCCATATCAAGACCCCCCGTCCTCGCGAGACCTCTCCGCTCCCGCCAGCCACCCCGGGGTGCCCCGATCATTGACATTAGCAGTTCCTCCGAGCCGGACGGTCCATCCGACAGAGGTGGATTTCATGGTGGAGCCCACCACCATCAGGCTCGAGGCCATCGCGGGGGCGCCGCGCCCTAATCCGGCGTGGGAGCCATATCTGACAGCCCCTTTTCAAGGGTGTATTGCGGCGCGACTGGCTGGGACGCTCATCTATGAGACCGGGCAGCGTCCCAATGTGATGTACAACTTCCTTGTCTTCGCGGCGCAGAAGCGGGAGCGGCGGTCGGGGATACGACGAGTTTTGTCTGTGCCAGTCGAGTTTACACACAGACACACACACAGAAGGACACAGTTAGACACAGGCACAGACGCACACAACCACACACACAAGAACGCAGAGATACACACACACACAGACACACACACACACACAGACACACACACACAGGTGCTCACACACACATACACACACTCACACTCACAGACACAACCACGCACACACAGACAGCCACACACACAAACACATACACACAGACAAACACACACACAGACACACATAAAGATAGGGGCCTGCAAGAGCTCCCAAAAGTGTTATAGGCCTGCAAGCACCTTTGCCTTGCCTGCCACACACACAAAGGAACACACACAGACACAAACAAGCACGCACACACAAACACACACAAACATAGACGCACACTTAGAGGCTCACACACAAGAACACAGGCACACAGACACACACAGACACACATAAACACGCAGACACACACACACACACACACACACACACACACACACACACACCCACACACACAAACAGAGATACACACAGACACACACACACACATATAGACACAGGCTTGAAGTTCTGAAAAGTATTCCCAGAACCGTTTCAGGCTCATTTGTTTGTTATCTTAAAAAATCATGTTCATAGTCCTACAAGATGTATGACACGATAAATGTATTCGGGGTTTTTCGAACGCTCGAACATGTTCTCGAACATATTATCTCAAACCTGAGCGAACATATTGTTTTTTACTGTTTTTTTTTTTTTTTTTTTAAATTAATTTTGAACTCGTGTTTTACTGTTCTCTCAAAAGTTGATTGTATTCTTACTTTAAATAACATATATTTTTTGCTAAGGGTTTTTTTGTTAACTCAAAATTGATTTACAGTCCTAAAAATTAGTTTGCGCAGATCTTGGTTTTCACCTACTGCTGAACATGGCCGCCTGCGGCGCACTTAATGCCAACAGACTGTGATAGTCCTTTGGATACCCCTGATTGGTATTAGCGGGGTCTATGATCAATACGGGTGTGAGTGTGAGCGCGAGCGGGTTGTGTGTGGTGTGTGGGAGAGTGTTGGCCATAGCCTCTGACGCTACTTGATGAAGGGTGGGGGATGATGAGGAAGGGAGGCACAACTACTGGCAGGTCTCGGTCTTTGTGTTAGCCAGACCCCCACTTGCGGCCCCAACCCTGTACCCTAACCATTAGAGGCCAGGGGCAACATGATATCTCCCCTTCACAGAGAGAGGAAACTATGCTTGCAGGGGTCCCCTCTAGATAGTCTTAGGAGTAGGTAGTGGAAGCACTAGAAGGTAAAAGAAACAGAAGTTGAGAGAAGAGTATAGAAAAAAGAAAATGACTTGTGCCCGTGCAGCTCAGCCTGTCTCTACACGACAAGTGTTTGTGGTCTATTAGAAGGAATACCAAAAGTGTGGGGACCAACAACTCGAGGTCTTCGCCCTTAGAAAGAAAGGAAAACAAGAAGAAGAAAAAAACTCACTACATGCACACACGCATACACACGCATGTGCACATGCACACACATGATTGGTTGATTGATTGATTGGTTAGATGCACCAACCTCAAGTACGCAAACACGGACACGCAGATACAGACACACACACAAACAGAGGTACACATAGACGCACACTGAGAGTCACACACACAAGAACGCAGGCACACAGACACACACAGACACACACAGACACGCACAAAAACACAAACATAAAGACACAGGCTTGAAGTGTCGAAAAATTTCCCCAGAACTATTAGAGGACTTCAATCACTTTCGCCTGCGCCAGTCGTGTTTGTACACAAACACACGCACACAAGGACACAGTTAGACACACACAGACACACACAACGACACACGCACACACACACACACACACACACACACACACACACACGCACGCACACAGACGCAGACACATACAAACACACTGACACAGTCCGTGTCTGTGTTTGTATGTTTTTTGTGTACCACACACGAACACAGACTCAACCCGTGTTCGTGTTTTCATGTGCATGTGTTTATGTGTGTTTGTGTTTGTTTTCGTGTGTGTGTCTTTAAGTGTGTACACTGGCATAGACTAACACAAGCACACACACACAAAGTAACATTCCACAAAACTGTTATAGGCCTATAATCACTTTCGTCCGTGCCACTCGAGTTTACACACAAACACACGCACAGAAGGACACAGTTAAACACACACAGACAGACACAACCACACACACACAACCAAACACGCACAGGCACAGACGCACACAACCACACACACAAGAACACACAGATATACACACACACATATACACACACACACACACGCACACACAGGTACACATACACACAGACAAACACACACAACCATGCACATACAGAAAACCACACACACAAACATAGACACACAGACAAACATATAAAGACAGAGGCCTGGACATCTGGTGTGACTCAAGACTTGACCTCTGGGACTGAGAGTAAGTCTTGAGTCTGACCAGAAGTCCAAAAGGCAGGCCTGAAAGACCACAGTAGCAGGGGTCACGTCTGTTCAGCAGACTTCAGTTTATGGCCATAAACTCAAGTGAAAATACATAAATTTAACAATCTCTTCTTTTTCAATTTGAATAGAAATAAATCTACATTGTTGTCTTTGTTTTTCAATTTGAACAGAAATAAATCTACATTGTTATCTGGCTCGAGACCTGACCTCTGGGACTGACACTAACTGGGCCTGCGACCTTTGACTCTGGGACTGACACTAACTGGGCCAACGACCTTTGACTATCTCCTGAATGGACGTGACCCCTGCTGCTGTGGCCAATCGGGTCTGCCTTTTCGACTTCTGGTCAGACTCGACACTTGACCTTTGGAACTGGGACTAACTCTTGAGTCGGACCAGAAGTCCAAAAGGCAGGCCCGAAAGGCCACAGCAGCAGGGGTCACGTTTGTTCAGCTGAACAGACGTGACCCCTCCTGCTACGGTCTTTCGGGCCGGTTTTTTTTTTTTTTTTTTTTTTTCCCCCAAAAACTTGCGACCTTCCTAGTATGAAACAGGCACACCGGCTAGGTTTATACCGGAGTCGCTATCCATTATGTAAGCCGAAAAACGGGTCCTGCGTCCCTCACATGAAGAACGAAATTCCATAACCAAACAAGGTTTCGGAAACCAACGAAACCCCAATTAGCGCTACACAAACCAACAGCAGAACCAGAAGGTCATCATCCAACACTAACCCTACACCTGCCTTTTGGACTTCTGGTCTGACTCAAGACTTGACCTCTGGGACTGAGAGTAAGTCTTGAGTTAGACCAGATGTCCAAAAGGCAGCCCGAAAGGTCACAGTAGCAGGGGTCACGTCTGTTCAGCAGACTTGAGTTTATGGCCATAAACTCAAGTGAAAATACATAAATTAAACAATCTCTTCTTTTTCAATTTGAACATAAATAAATATACATTCTTGTTTATATGTATACATATATTTTTCCTTGAGTTAATAGAGAGGTCA